GAACATTTTAAAAATATATAAATCAAAATGAATAAAATCTTAAAAGTACGAGATTAAAATATAGTTTTTTCAAAAGATGCTAAACACCTGTTCAAGAATCAAATCCAGATTTAAACTCCTAATTTTCTTATTTTTTGTGATTATATGATTGACTAATTTAGTATTTTTTGTCCAAAAATAAAAATGGTCAAATGTCATGTCACATTTATGATTTATTGTTCTCATTATGTCGAAAAAAATAGAAAAAATAAGAAAATGGAAAAATAGAAAAATAGAAAAAAAAAGAGAGAGAGAGAGAGAGAGGGAGAAATCTTTGTCTGTTATCGTTGACAAGGACCCGCAAGAATGAGACGTTATCTTCTACGGTCGCTTTCAAGTTACAATTTTTTTTCCCGTTGTTTTAAATTGATTAAATTATAAATTTAATATCTCGAACTATTAAAATATTTCAATTACGTTCCTAATTAATATTTATACTTAAATGTTAATGTATGATGTTGATTGAATTAATAAATAATAATTTTGCATAATACATGTGTATAGAAGAAAGTCACTTGGATAAAATAAAACATGAATGCACAAAAAAAAAAAGAATTTTATGAAATAGGCAGACGATATATATATATATTTTTTTGAAATAGATAGGTAGACGATATTAACTCTGTGCTATTTGTGTAAATGTCTCATATTGTACTATTGAGTTGCTTTCTTATGCCACACTCGTCATCGGATTCATGCACTTGTTAGTTCAATCAACAATATTTAAGTAATAATGTTAACGATTGAGACGTGTTAAAGTCATACAATCTAAAACTTAAAGCATTTGATTTTCCTTTATTTTTAAAAGTTAAGAGGTTAAATAACCACAACTATTAAGGATTGAATTAAGGATTGATTTCGTATTTAACAATTTTTTTATAATTTCTTTAAATTAATGCATTTTACCGTTAAAAATTCTATTTTGATATGGTAATTTTCATGTATCCTATTTGATTCTTATATTTTTAAGCCTCTCGTTAGTTGATTTTTTTTTATGAATAAAAATATTTAATAAAAATCTAATATAGAGAGGCAGAGGGCTCTTGTGCAAAATTTAAAAATTGAAATACAATATTTGAAAATTGAAAGGCTAAAATATAATATTTAAAAATTTAAACGAAACGTATATTAAAAAAGTTTTAGTGAAAGAGTATAATTAATTAAAACATAAAATTGGAGGGCTGACATTAATATATATATTTTTTAGAAATATAAAAAATTTCATTTAAATTTTGTTTTTAAATCAAGTTTTGTTTAAAAGATAATGATTATCGTGAAAAATTAATTTTAAAATACTAAATAAATATATAAATCAACAAAATTCGAAAATTGTTTTGAAAAATTATTTATGTCAATTAATTTTTTTCTCATAAAAAGAATAATATTTTTAAGTTTTAATTACTGTATTTTCAAACAGCATATTCTCATCTACTTTTTATGTTCTCTTTCTGTCACATCATTTGTCTTTCTTTAAATTCCCCTTTTTAAGAAAATAATAATAATAATAATWATTATTATTATTATTATATATTGATATATGGGGCTTACACGTGTACCTTTTCATTTGGCCTAACAAAGTAACTTTTTCATATATTATTTTTATTTACTGAAATAAAATTAATTAAATTACAAGCGATTTAATAAGTCCCTAAAAATTAAAAAATGTCTAATAGGTCTATAAATTCTTGAAATCTATATTTAATAGATCTTTGAATTTTAAAAAATTTTTAGTAGGTCCAAGATCTATTAAAAAATTCAAGGAATTATTAGACTCTTTTTAAAGTTAAAAGATTTATTAAACAAATGTTTAAAATTTAAAGACAGGACACACAACCTCAATAGTTGGAGGACCAAAGTTGTATTTCAACCAATAAAATATGTGATTTTAAAAAATTATGTTTGAGTCTTTTCGTTCTCAGAATCACAACAATTGTCGAGTCAAAACAACGATCCAACCATAGAATATTGAAGTGGGTTAATTCAAGTTATTTGGTTTATTTATTCTAAATTTTGTAAAAAAAAGTTAAAATGATAATTTGTTTAAAAAAAATTTATGAGTACAATGTGTGGGATAATGATTCGAATTCACCACCTTTTTTATTAGAGATATGTACTTTAACCCGTTGAACTATGTTCAGATTAACTGAATAAATTATGTTCTAAAAGTTAGTTATTGGAAAGTGAGAAAAAAAATCTATAAGAAATTATTTGATTAATTTTATTTGATTAAAATACATTGACGCAGTAATACTTTTATCTTAAACTAAAATTTACACATTTTATAATTAATAATATGTTTGAGATAATTGGATGCAACCCTAAAATTAACTTTGAAAAATTCATTCACTAGTTAAATCCAATTCATAAGCTTTCAATTTATTTGAACCTAATTTAACAAAAAAAAAAAAAGGTTATATAACGCAGCCAGCCCTATAGTTTGATTTGAATTGATCATAATTTTTCTGATCATATAATTTTTGTTACACCTAAACTTATAAGTTAGGTTTCATGGACTTTCTAGATAATGAACTAATATAAGTTTTTTTTTTTTAAAAAATCTTTGAATACTACGATCGAAATAATTGATCTAGAATTTAGATCTATAACACCTTTAAAGAAAATTATCAATGCTTCTATGAATTCCGTAGAAAACCAATATAATATTGTACTAAAAAAGTTACCTAATATCTTTTTAATAGAATATTACATTGAAAAAAAAAAGTTTGAGAATTTGGACTTACCCCTTTAAAAGAGGTTAATATTAAAATTTTGATATAGTTAAACTGTCTTGGTATTTTCAGAAGTAACGATTTAGTCTTCGAAATTTTAAATTAAATCCTTTAGTTTAAGTCTATCGATATTTTGTTACAATTAAGTCTTTAGAATTATGACATGACTTCGAACTATGGGTTGATTTATCATGGGATTAAAAAAATAAAAGAAATAAAAATTAAACCAAAACATTTTTCTTCTCCAGTGATCCACGCATCGTAGCCGCAGTCACATGAATGTCGTCGTGTTCTCTTCTCCAACGAAGCAAGCTAGATTCGGACTAAATTATTGCTATCGCTGCTGGTTCGAGCGTTGTTGGAGGGGATGTTGCGGGGGGGGGGGTCCATTGTCGAGTTTGCGAGGGCTATGGCTCGTCGGCGGAAGGCTGCACCACTTGTGGTATTGTCGAATTTTGAGTGAGGTTATCAAATTTGTTCATAGGTTGTAGATCCACGCCGCTAGAGGGACGTCGCTGGCCATCAGGTTCATACCATTGCAAATCTACGATGCTCGTAAGTTGCATAGCCGTGGGCTTGTTTGTCACATCGACACTCGTGTTGTGCTCGAGATTTGCTGAAGTTACACCACCAGAGGAGAGAACACGAGAGGGGTGTAAGTCTGCAAAGGAAGGAATTTGCAGTTGTGGGTTGGGGGGATTACTCAGTAGAAAGTCGATCCCTAAACCGACCCAATAATTAAACCGATCCTTAATTGTCAGCTCTTAAATTTAACATAATAGTTAATGGTAGGAAATTAATTGTAACCAATTTTAAATCACAGAGACTAAATCATTACTTTTAGCCTTGAAATAATGCTAGATTAGACATCATATCATACTTTTTTAATGATTCGTTTTTGGTAGTTGATTTGTTCCTATAATATAATGCATCATCTCATTTTGTCATATCAATGATTTTGGCTTTTGATCAATATTAAAGTAATTGGGACAAAAAACATATAAACTCATCAGATAGTGACATTTCAAAGCTCTTGAATCCACATGGATTTTTTACCCCACCCCAATGATCTCAATAAAGAATAAAAATACAAATTAGAAATCAACTTGGAGCATTATATTTTAATTGTCTGTATAAAAAAATAAAATTACATTTTAATTGTCGAATTTTCATATTTCAAACGTTATAAGTCAATCCGAACATAACTCGATTGATATAAAATAATAAATTTTACATATTTTAATATTCGCCACGGAGTCTAAAAATTATTTAACAAACCCTAGCACTGTTTTTTTTTTCATTTTTCTATTTATTGGATCAGTTCTGTATAAACAAGTTTTATGAAGTTGGTTTAAAATGGATCATATGTCAAATTTCCTATTGGGAAATAAAATAAAATAAAATAATGTCAGAAATCAGATTTTAACAACATTTATGTAATAAAAATTTTATATTTAAAACTTAATTTGGTCTTATTTGGAGTATATATATAACTACAAAAGCATAGCTAAAGAGTAAAAGCATTTCTACCTCTCCAAGAAAGTTTGATTTTTAACTAAAACACAAAAGATAAGAAAATACTATATATATAAAAACAAAAATTAAAATAAAATTTTAAGCAAAGTACACATACTAAAATGTAATATCAGAATAAACATAAAAGTTGAAAATTTTGGCTCAAATATCTTTAAGCTATAAATTTAACTTCCCAACTTTCTAGTTATATTCTAAATAGCTTGAATGGTCGTTAATTGCCTTGAGAAGGCTGATTCTGAAGTATCCCGCACAGTAACCATACAATCGATTTCTGAAACGACCTTAACAAATCGGAGATGTGAGACCCCTCATCTTCCGCCGATAAATATGGAGATCACTCATGTACGTAGGTATGCAATTTTGGTTCATCGTCTTGAGAGCTATAGATCAGATTCATATTGATGACTTGTTGGAGTGTTGTATTTGCTTTTTTTGTACATATCTCCTCCCTTCACATACCTCGTTTCGAATAGCTCATCTTGTCAAACCCTTACGTGCTCTCGAAATAATCGGTGTTAATTAGTTAGCTATTAAATATTTATATATATATATAATAAAATTGATTACCAAAGCAAAATGGTTATTAACTAGGAATCTAACTTAATAGAAAAATCGTTATGAATCAAGATTCCTAAGTTAAAGTTAAATTTGTAACTTAACGAAATAATTTCCTTATATAAAATATTCGAGCGGCCGTTTCTCTTCTGCAGAGGAATAACAATTCTTGCGGTAGTTTGCGGTGCGATTCGGTGAAAGATTCGATTCCATTGTCGAACAGTGGAAACTCGAGAGCGCCATATTTCACGCGGGGTTTGCTTGCAGTACAAATCGTCATTTCCAGAGCTGTTTTTCCAACTCTTAATCCTCCGTTTCCAGTTGAATTATTGGAGCTCTGTCGATTTTTGTAGCAGCTTAGGATCTGTTCTTATTGCCGAGCTCTACAATTCGATTTCCTTGCCAAATTCAGCTGTAAGTGTTTGCCTTCTCTTTCTCAAACGTTGATTTGTTGTGGGGTCGTTTTATTTATTTGCTTTTTTCTTAGCCTTTTATCTATCTGTTTGATGAATCTCTATCATCTGAATTTTTTCGTCGCATGAACGTTTGTCGAGAAATTTGTTTCGCTGTCAGCACTTCTTTTGTTGAACATTCAACTTCTGGATTTAATTCCAACTTGTTTTGTTTTGTTTTACTAAACTAAACAATATATATATATATATATATATATTTTAATGATGCTGCTTCCGAAGTTATTTGTTGGTTCTTCTTCCTCTTTTCTGCTTCTGATTCTTAATTGTTTCGTTAATTGATTCTTTGAAGGCTGTTGTTTAAATGCGAAAAGTTGGTGTTTAAAGTACGTGTTCTGATCAGGAAAATTGAGAATTAGATTACCAGAACTTCACGCTTGGATTTGTTCCTGATTGGAGCTAGAAAGGCACCCGTTTTTCATATAGGAACAACTTCAGATTTTGAAGTTTGTTTGGTGGGCGTGCGGTAGATTTCATCTTACCGAGTCTGAAGATTGGAAAATATGGAAAGATTCCTCACGACCATTGCCACAGAAGCTCAGGCGGGAGGGGAGTCTCTGGTCTCGAGCATAAAGATTGCAGTGTTACCAATAGCCAAAGTTTTCACCATGTGCTTTTTGGGTTTTCTGATGGCATCTAAATATGTCAACATTTTACCTGCAAGTGGAAGGAAACTTTTGAATGGGGTATGCTACTCAAATTCCATCTAATACCTTCCTTTTGCACTTGTGCTCAAACAAACACTATAAGTAATAACTTAAAACCCTTAAAACCTTTGTTATAGAAGTGGCCTATGAGCATGATGCAAGGAGTGAGTCCTTGATATTCTAGTTATTAAGAGGAAATTATACTTTCGGACACAGCAGAAGATTTGTGCTGATTTTTTTTCTAAAATGATTGTTTCTGCATCTTGTGCTGCAGTTGGTCTTTTCTCTTTTGCTTCCATGTTTAATATTCACTCAGCTCGGGCAAACTATTACTGTAGAGAAAATGCTTAAATGGTGAGAGCCAATGTATACCTATATGGTTTCATGTTTGTATTTGAATCTTGTTATAATATAACCATGTCATCCAATTTCATTTGTGGCCTTATGCAGGTGGTTTATTCCCGTAAACGTTGTTTTGGGTGCCATATCAGGTTCACTAATAGGATTAGTTGTTGCATCAATTGTTCGTCCTCCATACCCCTTCTTCAAGTTCACGATTGTACAAATTGGAATTGGTAAACCACTTGATCTTGCAATAGTAACTTTGACATAATGTGTTTGTATGACGTGCTCTCTATTTCTTAGTTAGAGTTTATATGAGTTGTTTCCTGTTTCTGTCGCTTAGCTGGCTGGTTACATAGACATCTGTGGGTGGCCATTAGTTTTAACTAACTGCCAAAGGCAGTCAGTTTGTATGCGACTCGATAAAATTCTGTCCATTTTAATAAATTGATAGATTAATTGATAAAATAAGAATAATATTTATCTTCTCCCGAATTGAGTGTGGATCAACTACTTGTGCACTAATTAAACGGTGGTGTGATGTTTGCCCTGTTTGTGACACAAGTCATGTTGGCAAGACATGCAGTAGCTGATTTCAATCCACAATTGCAGACAAATAAGCTAGAAGAGTTGTTCAAATGAGTATAAGTTATTGAGAAATCAATGGATTAGGGGCAGGATCAAATTGCTATTTCGTTCAGGGCAGACTTAGTCTAACAGGGAAATTCCAATGAATTGAGCCTATATGACAGATGCTAGGACATATATCCACCTGATACATTTTGCTAGCTACTAACTGAGGATGAATTTAATTCTAGTGGGGGGAAGTGATGTAATAAGCTTGAGTGACATACTGTGTGTTTTTTTTTGGGGGTCTTTAAGGTCATGCTAGTTTCTTGTTTTTCTAAGTCTTAGCTGACTGGTTAACAATGTTTGAATATTAAAGATGAGATTTTTTTCCTCTTTAACTATGCTTTGTACCTGTACTTTAAAAACATTAGTAACAGGCCGTAAACACTTCTCCTGCTGTTGAATGAATTGCAATATCTTTGATCTTGTGTCTTAAGTCTCTCTCTCTCTTTTTTTTTTTTTTTTTTTTTTTGTGAAAAACAAATAATGGATCAAACAGATCATAGTTTTTCTGTACATAATACCTTACTGTTCATATAGCTAATGTATATATGCTGTGAAAATGTTACTTAGACTTCACAGTTTGGTTTTATCATATGAATATTCTATTTTGTAATAATTCTATGTTTCGATGTTGGAATTCAGGAAACATTGGGAATGTGCCTCTCGTTCTCATTGCAGCTCTCTGTAGGGATGACTCCAACCCTTTTGGTGATACAGAGAAGTGTAGCACTGATGGAACTGCTTACATTTCCTTTGGCCAGTGGGTGGGTTTTTCAGCTCTTGTTTTGAATTTTTAATAACTTTCCATCATAAATCATTCGAAACATCAAGTATTTCTTTGTCCATCCCTGATTTAGCCTATATTCACCCCTAAGTAACTATTACTTCTTATACTGTGGGCTCCATCGTTTGAAACATAACAAGGAAGAAAGAGAGTGGAGTGAAGTATTTGATCTAGAGAAGTACCATTTGTCTAATTGATGTTCACTTTCGATTTCTTTTTGCACTTATTCTCTTTGCTATTAACTCAAGATGGGGTACCTTTCGTAATTCCTTCAGGAGGCGTACATTTTTGTTTGTAACTTCTCACCTTATCAATGGCTCTGTTTCTTCGCAAAAAAAAGAAATAGTTCATCTCTAGTTAGCTAACTTAGCTAAGTATAATTTATGAAAGTACTAAATAATACCCATACAATTATTTCATAATGTCAAGGTTGGTGCTCTTATCCTCTATACCTATGTTTTCTCGATGTTGGCACCTCCTCCTGAGGGTACATTTGACATTAAAGATGGAAGTATTCCAGTTAAGAACCTTCGAAAGGATGACGCTCCTGAGCAAGTTCCCTTGCTTGTCCAGGAGGTAGCTTCAACGAATTCAGATTCTTTTAAGAATGAAGAGGTGAGAGACTTTATTTCGATTTGTTGTTAATATTTCATATTCAATTGAACAGATTCATGACGAGGTTCAACTTTTTACTGGTATAATATGAATATAAATTATGGATGTTAATGCTATCATTTTTGATTTTGAGCAGATTCTATAATCTTGAGATAATCATTAAATTTATGCTGCCTTAGTTATGGAAATAAATCTACTCTTAGTTATGGAAACTAATCTGCTGTGAAATTTTTGGGAATATTAAGAATTAGCTATATGTCTATTCAACCTGAAAATTACGAAATAGTTCTATCGAAAATCATAAAGATTGAGATGTCTGGTTACTTTTTGGGCTTTGTTAGGTTAGCTTACATGTATTTTTATCCATCCTCGCTTTACTTAAGAAAAGAAATGCAGAGTTGAAGTTGACTGTTGTGATCTTCCTTTTGATGCAGGCTAAGGGCCTCCTTATGTTTTGGATTGAGAAATTGAAGCTCAAGCAAATTTTTCAACCTCCTATCATTGCTTCAGTAAGTATATATCTATTACTTCTAAAAAGATTTAATCTATCACCAAGGGTACTATGAACACACCCTAAGACTTGATAAATTTCATGGGAGCATCATTTTCATCCTCTTTTGATATTGTGAACTGAAATTATGTACTCAAGAAATACTGAGTTGGAGTTTCTCTTATAAAGGCAAAAATTGTGAATGGAAAAAAAGTAAGAGATAAATATGAGACAGTTTCACGTGAGAAGATGTATATCACAAAGTTAGAGTAGTGTTCTTAATTGATGTACTAATGCTTTTGGTGTTCTTGCTAAATTGATGAGGTTTCTGAACTTCCAGATTCAAATACCTTTCTGCGTTCTTTTGTCACTATACATATTAATTGATTATGCAATCTGTTGCAGGTCCTAGCTATGATAATGGGTGCAATACCATTTTTAAGGCGATTGATCTTTACTCCTGATGCTCCACTATTTTTCTTCACTGATAGCTGCATTATTCTCGGGTAAACTCTGGAAAATCCTGAACAGTATTGTTGCTCAAGTTTTGTTTTGGTTGGAGGATATAAAAGATCATTTTTCTTGCAGTTAGATTCTATAAGCCTACCTATATTTATCAAGAAATTGTGCATAGTTTTTTAAGTAAAACAAGTCAATAAAGTAATACTTCTACAATTTTACCGTTTGATAGATATATATTATATATAGTGAGCAAATAGTGTAAGCTCCTAAATTAATGTGTTTTTGAACATTGAGTTGGATGTCCAAGATGTATTGTTCCACTTTTCTTCGCATCTAACAGCGCTTGTGATGTTATTGTTAGGGAGGCCATGATTCCATGCATCCTCTTGGCATTGGGAGGGAACCTTGTTGAAGGTCAGTGCAGTTATGATGATGATAAATTTATGTCATAGTTGCAGTAATATATAGCTGTTTTTTGGTTTCCAAGTTTAAGATTTATTATATTTTTGTTTCATTTCTACTTTATTCCTATTTTTTTTTAACATTTTAATCCCTTAACTTTTAGAAGACGATAGTGTTGGTCATTGCTATTATTTTGTTACTTACTATTCATCCTTTCATTACTTGTTTCGACTAACTTATGTGATTTCTATTATATGCCTTCATCAACATGTTAATACACATACTCGATTTATTTAAAGAAAAATAATAGGGAGGACCGAAATGATTATCTTTCTGAAGTTCAGGGATAAAATCTTGAGAGCTTATATACTGAAATAGAATGAATATAGAACTTCAAGGACCAAAATATATATTTTAAAAGTTTAGGGGCCAAAATGGAATGATCTTGAGGTTCAAATATATTACACGTATTTCACCATATGTTCAAATTGCAGTTTTGTATCTTTTAATTTCATGACAGGATTTAATAAATTTTGATTTGCTTGCAGGTCCTGGAAGTTCAAAGCTTGGGCTACGGACTACTGTTGCTATTATTTTTGGACGATTGGTTTTGGTGCCTCCTGTAGGACTCGGCATTGTCATGTTCGCTGATAAGCTTGGCTTCCTTCCTGCCGATGACAAAATGTTCCGATTCGTTCTTCTTCTTCAGCATTCGATGCCGACGTCTGTCCTCTCGGGTAAGCTTCAATTTTGCCAAACAATTTGAATTGAATATTTGCACAAAGACAAACCAACTTGCCCTTGAAGGCAAAAGGGAAAGAAGTTTATAGTTTCCCTTTCCTCCAGCTGCTAAATCATAAGCTTAATAGTGACTGGATGAACTTAACAGTTTGATCAGTCTTATCGACAACGTCTGGATCGTTTTCTCACGAAACAAAATTTTCTCTGTAGGCGCCGTGGCGAATTTGAGGGGCTGCGGGAGGGAATCTGCTGCTATTCTTTTCTGGGTTCATATATTTGCTATCTTCTCGATGGCTGGATGGTTCGTCCTCTATTTCAGGATACTCTTCTAAAGAAATTGCAACCTTGTGAATTCATTTCATATTCCGATCCTTCTGCATATTCTTTATTTGTTCTATATGTCTTTCATTACTTGTAGAGAAGACCAACAATATCTTGGAGATCAGATTATTGTATTATAGAGCTGAGTATATTGGTAGTTGTTCCAATACGTTTCAATAAGAATTCAGTTTTTCACTTTCATTTTCTTATTTGGTAGTTGTTCCAATACAATAACTTTTAGGGTGGTGTTTAAGGGCTGTAAATGTTAAAAAGCATTTAATAGTTCATAAACCAAATTAAACTTTAAAAGTGTCGGATAGATCTTTGGATGCACTTGATGCACTGCACGAGTTATGTCTACAGATATAATTAAGTGATTTAAGGTCCTAGTGTTTTGTTCTTGCTCTCAAGTTCCATTGATTCTTTAATAGAAAAAATCCTTCTCGAGGTAATTTTGTAATTTTATGTCTAATTGATCTTCAGCATATTTTATATTTTTTTTAGATACATAGTTGTAAAGATAGATTTATTAGACACAACATTAAAAGTTTAATGTTTAGAGATTTATTAGATATTTGTAGTCGGGTAGAAGCCCAATGATCTACTAGAAAATAAATACAAAAATCTAAAAGTTCAATTACTAAACTTACAATTTTGTTTATTTACACCTTTGTTCATAAACAAAAGGCATTGTAGAGATCTAAATAAAAATTTGTTCTTTGTCCATAGTATTTAGTGTAAGGTGACAATTGCATAATTTTTTACCAAGAGATTGGAATTTGATGATGATCATATAAAACAAATCCATCTGTGTCAAATATATATTTCTATTTACATAAATTGTAAGAAGTGAAGACTATACACTCACAATTGAACCAGTTGACCTGTTTATTACTGCCCCATTGTGCCCAAAAGCAAGGCAGAAGTTGGCTTTTAGGGTTCAGGACCAACTCTTCTATGTCAACACTGAATAAAATTTTGAAAATTCACTGAACTACATACTGAAAACCTCAGATTCCAATCCCTGGAAATCAACAAAAACAAGAAAGCTCGTGTTAATTTGATTTTTCGAACTGAATCGGGCGATGGCTAGACAATTTACCACCATCTCCTGGTTCTGTTGTTCTCTCTTTGGTTTGATGAATCTGCAATGCGAGCACCGAGCTGCCTTCTGTCTGTAAATCGACCTCCCGAAACTCTTTGATCGCATAGAGGGTTGCCAAACCAAAACATCAAGGCTATACCAACAAGACCAACGATCGGAGCAGCGACGAACAGCCATCGTCTTCTACTTCCCTCTCTACCTGAATTGTTACTGTTGTTAACTGCAGAGTTTATGTTGCTCTGCTCTTCTCCTTGGCCCATTTCGGACTCTGCATTTGCTCCGACTCCATTCAAGTCACCAGGAGTTTCAGGACCCACTACTCGATGCTGAAGTCTGTGGATCTCTGCAGTAGTGTTACTACTTGGCTTTCCCTTTTCGTAATCTTGATCATCGGTTGGAAGTTCGTATCGGCAAAGGGGACACGAATTTCGTGCACTCAGCCATGGCAAGATACAGGAGGGGTGGTAGAGGTGAAGACAAGGGAGTTGATTCACTTCTACGCCTACAAGTAAGAAATCTTTGCAAATTGCACAGGAGATACTGTCATGCTTCAAATGTTCTCCAGAAATCACCAATCGTGGGAGATTTTTCACGATACATACGGCTGCAGGAGGTGCTCCACGTCTCGAGCTGGTCGTCTCGGCAATTTGCTCAAGCAGTTCTTCAAAGCCTTGTCGGTCAAGATAATCACCAGAATCCCCAACATAAGATATTAATTCTGATTCTTCTGTTCTTGCATAGTCATTGATAGCATAAAATCGCCTGTTCCTCCTTAATCGCCCAGGAACCGAACCCTCATATCCCGGTGAAGAACGTCGTTCATTCCGATCAACAGAGTGACCTCTCCTGGTAGCACTAGAAACATGAAAACCTTGAAGTTGTGATCTAGCTTCAGTAGAGTCTACCTCAAGTGTATCTTGCTCTGTGTCAGCTTCCGTTAATTCACCACGATCTTCATCCTCATCGCTCGAGTTCCAATGGCTAATACCAGCACGCATGGGATCAATGTCTGTATCAGTATCAACATCGGATCCCTCGCCCGGCAGAACAAAATTGTCCGTATCCAAGAAACTTTGTCCATCCAGCGACGCATCAGAGTCGCCCCCATACGTTCTATAGGAAACATCACTATCACCATAACCATGCCTATAAGGCCCAAAACTGAAATTTGATTCACTCTCCCCAAACATGGAGTCAAAACTATCTAAACCATCAATTTCAGAATCGGAGTCTACTTGTCGCCATCTTCTAGATTGATCAGGGGTCATATGGGAACTCGATGCTGCACAAAACCAGCACCATTAGAACCATCTACATGTCGATCCCCGTAGCCAGAGATGCTGGCTTGACTTTGTCTCACAAGGTTAATCATATGGCTGAATTCCTGTGAAAAAAGATTTCCAGCAGACTCTGTACTACCATCCCTTGTTCTTCTCCCTCTTGGCGTTGTCCTATGATAAGAATCCCGCACAGGGGTTTCAATATCTTCAAGTAACAAAAATTTACAATCCCCACATATACTAATTGCTTCAAGTTCAGCGGTGGAATCATTATCGGGAACTAGCAGCCGTTGGCAAAATGCACATGTTGGCAGCTGAACCGATCCATGTTCGTCAACTCGTTGATCGCTGTCCATGACAACATGGTCAGTGGATTGAGTAAAATCCTCCAAGATTCTCTGAGAGTCAATGTCCATCTGAGATGAAACCAGCGAAGCACAAACAATGAACAGAATGGAAAACCAACATGAAGTTCAAAAAATGGTGAAGTAACATCATTAAGAAGCATGGATATGAATATGACAAGGATACAGTAACACAGTCATTTTTTTTTTTAAATCTAGGACATGAAGATGACAAGAAGACGTTTATTAAAATGTACAATTTTTAGTATGTATCATTTTTATACCAGAAAATTCAAAGACAATAAGTTTATGCATTTTTATAATTAAAAAATGAGTTTTGACGTATTTTGCACTCAAAATTTATTATGTTTTCAATAACTATTTAGGTCTATTTCTTATACTTAACCAGTGTTCAATACGTCAAGTTCTTCCTTTGGACTTTGTTTTATAGAGTGAAGACAGTCTGGAAGAAATTCCCTCGCTGAGCCCTCTCTCTTCTATGTGTGGTATGTGTAAGTGAAATACTGAAACAATCGATCATCTTTTCTTTCACTGCTCTTTAGATTTTAAGGCGTGGTCTAATGTGTGAACAGAATTGGGTATTTTCCTTTGCATCCCTAAGAAAATCGATGAGTTTATCTTGGAAGGTTTTGCTGGAGCTTCTCTTGGAGATATATATATATTGTTTTTTTATAACGGGGAGTCGGAGCTTTGCTCCCCTACACGGACACCCCACCCGCCCCAATGAGAAGTAAAGTTTTTGTCTTTGAAATTGTGCGGCTAGAGCTTGGAAAGAAAGACACCATAGACTTTTTGAAGATAAGAAGTCCGAGTAGGATTCTTTTAGTATGACTCTACAGCATCTTGCTTCTTGGTGGGCACTAACCACACGAAATTCTTTTATAATTACAGTTTACATATGATAACAAATGAATTGTGTAGTCCTTAGGAGAGGGTAAATCTCTACCTTATGCCTTTGGGTTGTCTTCCACTCTTCTCAAGGGCTTTTTGAATATATTGTTTCAGTTTCTTACTAAAAAAAACGGCCAAATCAACTAGTGTATGACTCAGATCTATTGCACTGACAAGTGTCAGTTCGATACGTGCCTACTAATAAGTGTCTCATATGTATCCAAACTGAAGTGCACGTACTTCTCGGCACAAAAGAGACAGAATCTTGAGAAACATAATCATATTGATTCTAATATAAGAACCCTTTAAAAACGCCTTAAGGAACGCCTTGAACAGGAACTGCCTCTTTTGATAATGAAAGTGATGTTTCTTATCCCAGAAAAGAAAAAGGAAAAAAGGCCTTCAGGAACTGACTACAGTAGTTCAACTATATACCATCATAAGTTCTTGTTACAAAGAAATTAGACACTGCCTTGTTATAGTTTTCAGCACTCGTAGCCATGTGCTCCGAGCTCTTAACTAGTCGTTATGCGGTATCACTTAGAGCCACTTCTAGTTCGTGCTTCTTCTAGTGCACGAGTGACTACTCCCCGCCCTCTACTACGACCCCGAGTTGAGAAAATAATTGAAAGACTTAAGACCATCAGATAAGCAAGCATTAGATGGCACCTTCACCACTTCATTCCTAACCTCACTTCACTCTCGTCTTTTCAAACTTAACCATACTCTTTAGAATTCAAGCACTCAGTTGTACAACAAACAGATCCTGTTCAAGTAAGGGCATCTTTCAAACTTAACCACACTTATTTCAATCTAAACTGAAATGCCCTTTCATTCAATAGCATGAAAATAATTCTTCAATACTCAACAGAAGCTCAAGCTTTTAGAACTTATAAAGCAGGAGACAAGGTAAATAACCATGATGGGTGTTGATAAAATGAAAAAGAAAAAACCAATGTCAGTCCCCATTATGATGCTAAAACCTCCTAGAAGTGTAAACTCAGTCCCAACAACTTGTGTTCAACAAGGGCTCAAGAGAAGACTACAGAAGTTCGATCAGTAAACAAGAACTAGTGTTTTGGAGCCACTATTTTACTCCCTCGAGAATAAAGTTAGCGAGCCAGAGACCAAAAATTCCAAATCGAAAACCAAACGATTAGAGCAGAAACCACCGGAACCGCATTACATACAATTAGGGAAAACCAAAAAAAGCATCAAAACGATCGGAGAAAACGAATAGGGGTTGCGATTATTACCAGTGAGTTTGTTTCCAGTGCTTCAAAACTCCAGCATTCGGCCCGAGCTCATCCGATCGAGAAACTTGGGGGAAACGAAGAGAAATCAATCAACGAAACGAAGAGAAGAGAGAGAGACAAATAATTGGAGAACGCTGTTCAGAAACATCCGTCGTGGGTCGATGAAGAGGGGTACGAAGATGAACAGAAATCAGAGAGGGGAAAAACTGTGGAATTTTGAGGCGGAGGTCAATGGGGTCTTCTTCGATCGAAGCGATTTGAAGGAGCGGCCGCCATTGGAAGATGAAGAACGGAAAGTTTCCTAACCAAAACGCGCGGCGTAATTGACCCACCAACAAAACAACCTTCTCAAGAAAAATTCAACAAAATTTGGAAAGTGTGATTCAAATCTTCATCTGGGTGTTGATGATTTGATTTGATGTAATTGGTTTCTCTGAAGAAAAAGTTGGTTTTTTTTCTTGTATGATGATTACAAAATAAAGTGTTCGGTCCCAAAGACAAATGGGCCACTCTCATCCTCTTTAGGCTCAGGCTGTATCACCCACTGCACTCGGGCTGCTGCCTCTTTCTCTTAACTTATTTTTGTTCTTCCTAATGGGATTTTGAAAATTTCCCAACTTCAACGTTATGTGTGTGTATATATATATATATATATATGTTTTGTTAAAATATTATTTCGATGATTCATTTTAGTCTACGTATTTTTAAAATATTTTTTTTGATTCTTATATTTTTAATTTTGATTATTTTAGTCTCTATATTTTCAACATGTGGTCGTTGTACTTTAGGAAGGGGTCATTTTGGTCTTTATTTAAAAGATTTCAAAATTAATTCTATACACAACGAAAGTCTTTTAATATAAAATCATAGTTATATTTTAACGAGTATATTAAGTGTAGTGTCGGATTGAAATTAAGGTAGAGGAAATGATATTAAAAATAAAATTAAGGGGCCAAAATAGTCACTTAAAAGTACATTGACTAAAGTGAACCAAAGCTTAGAGTACAAGAACCAAATGAATATTTTGAAAGTATAGGGACCAAAATGAACTAAAGCTCAAAATACAGGGACTAAAATAGTATTTACTTGAGATCTCTAAACCAATATAACCAAGAGACCTTAAATCCTTGTCAACTAGGCTGCCCCTTTCAGATCTAACATCATGTCTATCTTGTCTCTTTATTTTAGAGTTAGTTAATTTTTGTAGGAACTTTCTATTTATATAGTTTTTTATTATACATAAATTATTTATGTATCATAAAGAGCTACTATTATAGATTAAAAAAAATGTCATGTACCTCGAGGTTTTATTACTTTTTTTTAAATAATTGGAAGTTGGAGTTTTGCTCGCTTATACTTAAAAGGCAGCCGTACCCGCTTCAAGACCCGGGCCCAAGAGACATCAAGAGCTTTTGATATTAATTAGTTCATCGGAAGGTTCGAATTTGAGACCTCTAAGTCAATATGGCCAAGATACTTCAAGCCTTTACCAATCGAGCTGTCCTTTGGGGCACCCAGGGTTTTATTACGGTTGGGATTGGTGGAGTCAAATTGACGTTGGAACGAGTTRAGGACAAGTCGGAGTCTAGCCGGGACGCATCAGGACGAAGCGGGAATGGAAAACAGGTGGAGGAGTGCTACAAGGCCATCTAGTCGAGAGGACAACGTTGCATCACCGCTACAAAAATAAAAAAAATAATAATAAAAAAATAGCGCGGCACGCATGTTAACGCAGCTATGTTTGCAGCGCCTCAATGCTGCGACAACTTTTCTTATAAAAAGTGCGTTTTGATTAGGTTTTTGATAGCCGCTTTGGGGGATTTTTGTGGCGTTTCAGAGTTAGCAGTTCGGGATTGTTAGTAGTAAAAAGGGTAAAGCAAGATCAACACATTTGGGGTAATTAAATCTTGTTCTATATTGTGAGTTTCGTTCCTGTACCTAAACATATTGGGGTTAAATATAAAAACTAGGGGAATTTTTACTTTTGTATCCAATCTTTGATTATAGTGTAATCCGCATCTGAGCGGAAGACTGGACCTAGCCCGTAAATTGTTGGGTGAACCAATATAAATATGTTATTTCTTTTATTGCTTTTCCTATATTTTTCATTGATTTGTAATTGGCTTAGATAACTGGATACAACTTGCACTTAATTTCCCAATCATTATTATTGCTAAGTATTTAAGTTTAATGCTTCTACAACAAAATGCTTAAATTTTTTTTTCTTTTTTTCATTTTTTACTCTTATAGCCTAGTGAACCAATTCTAGCCTATTTTTATTTCACCACATAAAACTTTGTAATCTAATCAAATAGGAGAGATTGGAGACATTCATTCTAAACAAAGTAAGCAACAATGTGTTTTACTTGGAAAAATGTGATATATTGAAGAAACGACAAGCAGCCTAACTTATTTAACATAGGGCAAATTTGACTAATTGATTGTGGTCTATATTAAATATCGTTGTAGTGTAAACCTGGAATTATTACCAATCATATAAGATTTAAATATTGTTCGGTAACGTTCATGTTTCTTGTTGAGATACTTATAAATGAATTAATTTACCCAACCCATGAGCTTAAGCTTTTGGGTTGAGTGATGTTTATTCATCCTTAAGATGGTATCATGGCATGCATCAAATATTCAAGTGAGACATAAATCGACTGATCAAGGTATATATCATCGATCGAAAGGTCAGATGTTCAAATCTTCCATATGTCATTGAACTAAAAAAGAATCAAACAAAGTTGTTCATTTTATATTAGTTCATATTTGATCTCTCCTGTGAAAAAGAACGATTCAGAATAAGTGCTTTTAGTACACATCTATATAGAGAAAGCACACAATAGTTATTATTTATTGATGAGATCATGCAAGTCCGAGAGGAGAGTCCATGAGAGTTGAGCTCTTAATGCATACGTTCAATGACATTGACAACCATTATTAGATAGTGAACAAAATCGCTTGATATCATCAACAAACTTGTGTATGGGTCAACAACAAAAGCAAATCACTTATTTATTCTTAGAATGTGGAGAACCCAAAAAATTGAACAAAGAAAAAGTGAGTTTAAAGGCAACACAAATTAGAATCAACAAATTAAACATCCCCATAGATATGTGTTGTCAAATGAATTATTTAGTTTCATTTGGAAGGTGGCAATGGGGCCATAAAGGGCAATTTGAAGATATCCCTTTGCAATTCAAATGCAACTCTAATGAGTTGTCATACCAAAACTCAACCAAGGAAAAAAAAAATAAAAATTTCTAAATATAATCTTTATTAATATATTTTAGAATTTTCAATTTCTATCTCAGAGCATTTTGTGAAAACAAATTCAATTTCTATCTAATACCAGAGTGAAAATGAAATAACAAAATAGTGATATGAGTTTCAGAAGTATTATGAGTTGTAACCTTAAAGTTGGTAAACCTAATCTAACTTGTTTAAACGTTGAAATTGTTTTTTATTAGTTAAAAACTATTTAAAAAATTCACATGAGTATATCTTAAATTAAATATTTCTAAGTTACATTTTTATCCTAATTTTCTTCACATTTATTAAAAATATTTCAAAATATTGTGAAATTATAAAGAAGTAGATAAATGATTTAATATATCAAATTAGTTCTCTATTTTTTTAGAAAATTCTGAAAAGTACCATCGTAAATCGTGAAATCGTTACAAATTAATTTAGAGAGTAAATCATTATTTTAGCAAAACTAAAGACATCAAATTTATTTTTTAACCTAAAAACTAAATCGATAATTTCAAAAGATTAAAAGTGTCTATGAGTCAAAATATTGCGTAAATAAAATTAGTCAAAATTCCATAAAATATTTTATTATTAAAATATTAAAAAAACAAAAAAAAAACCTAACTGTCAAAGGATAGCGCGCGCTCCTTTCTCTCTCTACTTTTCTTTTTTTTAATTAAATTGTTTTGAGGAAGAGAGAGAGAGAGAATATTTATTTAAATTTATTTATTATTTTTTTGAAAAAAAAAGGGAAAAATGGAAAACGAGAGAATGGGAAGTTAGTTAGAGGCGAAGGGGGGAGAAGAAGAGGAAAACTGAAATTTCTCTCGGAATTCGATTCATTTTCGCGGCGGAAGGAAGCAGTTCCGGTGGTGACGGCGGTGGCGGCGGCGGCGAGCATCGTCGTTTTGTGATTGTTTCCGCAACTGCTATCACAATTCGAAGACGAAGAAGAAAGAAGAACGATAATGGCGTATAGGAGGAGGCAAGGAATCACGAGGGCTTCCACTTTCAAAGAAGAGATTCATCATCCTCCCGAGGATTTCGATCACAATCCTATTTCTTCTTCTTCGTCTTCGTCTTCTTCTCTTGCCGCTCAGGCGATCCGAGATTCTTCGCATTCCTCTGCCTATGGCACCTCCGCTTTTGCCCCTGGCCATCTTCGATCCAAGGTTCTCTCCTATTTTCTCTTCTTTTTAATTGTTTACACGCCCCGAGTTTTATTTGTATTACTGTACTGGCTTGATCATGATCATGATTAGGAATTACCTGAAATCTCGATTCGATTTTGTCTTTTGCTATTGCTCCACCGCTGCCTAGAGTTTTGGCAGATCAACGTTATCCGACTGCTTACATATTCTCATAGCATTGTGCTTCTCTGTTTTTTGGCAAATGTTGCGAATTCGGTAGAGCCTTTTCTTCGCTATTTCTTATCTGCCTAACCAATTAGAAGAAGGATGATATAGTGTTGGTTCATTTCCGTGTTCGTGTTTGAATTATTCAGGAATTTCTGTAGTTTTTGTTCGTCCATTAGAATATGTTTTCATAGGCTGCCATGTAATCTGTATGTAGTCTTATCCCCTTAATTCCAGAGTTTTGCTGGCGAGAATGTGGCATTCAAAAGTGAGTCAAAATCCGGGTTTTGGGGCGTACTGGCTCGGAAAGCTAAGGCCATTCTCGAAGAAGATACCGTAGCCATAGAAGATGAAATGGCCAGCACAAATAGTTTCCAGCCCGTCAATACCTCAACTGGTAGCCAGGTGAGCATCAACTTTACGGCGTCGATATATATCGTAGATGTAGATGCGAATTGTTGTGATAATTCTTCGTGGTGTGTGTCATCATCAGCATAATTCAATAATTAAGGCATGAATCACTGTTCGATTGCTCGAATGAATCTTCACTCCCATGATGTAATGCTGTATTCTAAAAAACAAAAGCAACCTTCTCATACCAACATAGAGATTTTACCTTGTTGTGCAATGTCCCTAGAGTGCTTTATTTTCTGATTTCCAGCTTCTGTCCGAGGAATGGTTTCAGGAGGCATGTCAGTCAACTGATAACAACTCAAGAAGATCGGACAATCCTGCAATACGGAAGGGCTTGGATGGAGTCACAACTTCGCTTAATCAACATGGAGACACATTTGAAAAGAAATTCGAGGTAAGAATGGTGATGTTATTCTTTCTCCCATGAAACATTCCATTGCTTGGTTTTATTGTGTTCTCGTATCTTGTTTTCTTCTTGTCTCCAAGTTTGTTACTAATTTGCTAATTAGCTGACCACTGCTCAGATTGATGGACCCTTTTATACTTGAAAATATAGATTAGTAGTGACTTTTCAGCCTGACTTTGATTTTGCAAGATGGTGTAGTAAATCAGAATATTTCAAGAACCCTGTCTCAACTATATATTTGCATGGAAATTGTTAATTACCACTAGACTCCGGAGAGTATAAGTTGATAACTGGTGGTGAATTTAATTTTTATTCATATTTGTGGACTTGAAATTAGCACAAAATCCAACTAGTAGATTAATATATGAAACTGGAAGTAGATAGATGACACTACAGAAATTTGCATTCAAGACCTTCTGCCCTGTTCTACTCTCCTATCACGTTAAATTATCTCTAAACCATAGGTTCAAGTAAATAGGTTAAAAGGTAAATTTAATTTTAATTTTGACTTTCTAAATGGGTTCAGGTATATCATGGAATTGGTTTCTTAGTGAATGGATGTACGATTGTTTTGATCTACCATTTTCAACACCTCAACTTGTTTGCAGGAAGGTCGCAAAATTGTGGAAACTAAGACTGCAGACATCGTTCAAGAAACTCGCAAGCTGCAGATTAGGAAAAAGGGTAACAATTCTGAAGCATTACATCAAACTCCTGTGAATAATTCATGGCAGCAACCGGATATGCAATCTACAGAACCAAATATGCAAACACACCATGAAACTCAACTGAAGGCATCTCGAGACGTAAGGTGCCAACTATGTAATTATGTATCGTAATGCTACTATTGGAGTTCTCTCCTTTTCAGTTTTCTTTTCTCTTTTTCTCTAACGAATCGAAGCCAAACTGGTTGGCTTGAGTCATTAACTTGGCTAAGTTTGCTCTTACAAAGTAAGTAGCCTGGTTTACATATCTCTTCTTCACAGCTTAGTGCGAAGTTTTCTTTTCTGCAAAAGGAATTGATAGATTAACAATGTCTGTCCTAGAGTAGTATGCAATGGAAATGTCTGTCTTCTAAAGTAATATTCAATTTGGGTATCTGATTTCATTCATACTAGCTTGAAATTTTGTACAAAAATTACCTATTGGGTGGTGGAGTTCATCAATGGCTTTCTCTTGGGCTACAGGTGGCGATGGCGACAGCTGCCAAAGCCAAACTATTGCTTCGGGAGCTGAAAACCGTTAAAGCAGAACTGACTTTTGCTAAAGAAAGATGTGCACAATTAGAGGAAGAAAACAAAATCATCCGGGAAAATCGCGAGAAGGGAGACAATCGTGCAGACGATGACTTGGTAATCTTACTTTCCTCTCTCAGTTACCGCACAGAATGTTTAAGACAATAACATCCATTTAAAAACAGAAAATACTTGGCCCGTAAGGTCTAATAAGTCTCGTCCTCGACACCGTTCAAAAATTTACCATTCATTATTTTCTAAAAAAAAAAAGTATTTATTTTTGCATTTCGAACAATATTTTTTTTTCTTGGATACAATAAGTGGGGGTAGGTAGATTCGAACTCATGACATATTGGTCAGAGACTGGTGTCAATTACTACTGAGCTAAACTCATATTAACGTGGTGAGGACAAGATTGTTTCTTACCGTATTTAAAAACTCATTGTTGTAGCTATAACATTATTTTGATTGATCATTAATAAAAAAGGCTGTTTCCAATACCAGATTCGGCTTCAACTGGAGACTCTTTTGGCTGAGAAGGCTCGTCTGGCGCATGAGAACTCAATATATGCTCGGGAGAACCGTTTCCTGAGGGAAATTGTGGAGTACCATCAACTGACGATGCAGGATCTTGTTTATTTGGATGAGGGAACCGAAGTAGTGACAGAAGTGTATCCCGTATCCACCTCTCCAGGTATCGCCAGAATGCTGTCTGTTTCCCCACGCTCCCCAATCTCTCCAGCCTCACTTTCATCTCTCAGTGAGACCCCAAAAGAAGCAGAGAATGATGATGCCAAACACAGTGATGGAGACCCAACTCCTGAGGAAGAACAAGGTACAAAAAGAGCCCCTTTGCCTTCTACTTCTTCCTAAGGATATTGCTTACTCTTCTTTAAACTAATAATCTGTGAAAAAAGTTGTTTCTTCTTTTTCTCTTCTTTTTTTTTTCTTCCATTATATTTGTTCTTGAGGAGTGAGAGAGGGGGGAGGGAGGGCTCTCATGAAGTCATTCAAGAATTTGAGGGGGGAATGAAGTCGAAGGCTGAGGTGGTTGGTGGTTTGATTCTTCTTTTTTTTTTTTCTCTTTTTCATTTATTGACCTTTTTTTTTTCTTTTTTGTGCTAAAATTAACAAATGAGAATTGTAGAGTATGCCAATGCGAGGAGAAATGTTGCAAAATAATATTAATTCATTCTGTTCTCTGTTCTGTATCCCACAAACAAACATTATGTGATTCATTGAATATGTAATTTATTGCCCATATATGGCCTTTTTAATATGCAACTAAATCTAATCTTTCTTCTCTCTTTGTTTTTTTGTCTTTTTTTTGTTGATAATGGAGTTACATTTTCAGAAATTTTCTTTCTATATTTATATAAATGAACTTGGTCTCACCCTTACTTATCTATCCTTATTTATAGATCAAATTATTTCGTGGAATGAATTTTATTTGACTTTCTACCGGTAGCTTACTTGCCCTTAGGCAAGTTTTTTTTCTTTAAAAAAAACACAATACATCAATTCATTTATTTATATAATATAGTGAAGTTATTATTTCAGTAATAAATATTTAAAGTAAGAATTCTAACCTTGTGTCAGGACTCACGAGTTAGGAGATAATTTCGATCAGCATAACTCTCACTTTTCTAGTGTATCTGTTTCGAAGTTAAAATATATACATACTATTGGATTTGAATCAAATGACTTCTATTGCATGGAAGCAATATTTTAACTACTAAGAAAGGAAAGAGCGAGATGGTTACTTAAAAAAAATATATACTTTTTTGTTTGTTTGTTTTTTTTAGTACAATATGTAGGGGTGGAAGATCGAATTCACAAACTCTTAATTCAAGATATATGTCAATTACCACTGATGTATGTTCGCTTTTGCTTATTTTTTGTTTGTCAAAGAGGTATCTAAAATTCATCTAATATTATATATATTATTTGTTCTTGTATATTTTGCTACTATCCTATTTGAAAGTTTTTGGTACCTCAGGTATTAGTAAATGGACCTAATTTTGATGTCAATGTCATGCTTACTTTTTTTTTTCTTTTTACGAAAACAATAGCAATAAGCTGACATCAATTTCTCATAAAATTTAATATTTTGTTCACTGTAGTTAATATAAAGTATTGGTCCCATAAAATGTAAAAAATATGTGCTTTTAGTCCCGATGTTTGAGTGTTTTTTAAATTTAGTCATTATCGTTTAAAAAGTTTCAATTTAATCCTTTATATTTTAATATTTTTAATTTTCGTAATCAATAAAAACTAAATTAAAAAAATATCTGCATAATAGGAATATAACATATATTTAGCCGAAAAAAATATACTTAAGTGTAAAGATGAAATATATAATCTAAGCTTTACGATTTTAAAGGATGTTTCATGGTTGAATTGGATTGGGTTATTAAGACACTTTTTCCTTTAATTATTAAAATAGTTTAAATGAAAAATAAATAAATGTTAGTCATTTAAATACCTATTTACTTATTTTAATTATTGATAAAAATTGATAATTAATAATTCAATGTCCATATTTTCTAAAATTTGTTAAACGCTATAACATGAACTATTATTGAAACAGATTTAAAATAAATTATGCACATAAAGAAGAAAATTTTAATTAATAATATGTTCATATTGGTGGTCTGACTCAATCTAATAATAAAACATTTAGATCTCGCTGATCAATTTTTTTTAAAAGATCAACAAAGCGAACATAATTCAACAACAATTGATATATATCTCTCCAACCATAAAGTTGTAAGTTCGATCTTCCACCCCACATGTTATAAAAAAGAAAATTTTTTTTAGAGATCCATTAAATTTATATATACACACATATCAATGGTCATTTTTCACTTCCCTTCTCCATTTTCAAATTCACATAAGCAAACTGAAGAGCCAAAATATGTTCACATTCTGTATTGGGTATTTAACACTTCTAAGTGTCCAAAACATTGTCATTTTATGCATTTGGACTGAAAAAAAAAAGAAAAAAAAAATCAACACAGCAACTGGCTTTGGTATTAAATTTACACTCAATTAAGATTTGCAATACATATGGCTAAATTCTTCCTCTCGAACATCGGACGAAAAGGGACTACTACGTATACATTTCGATTTCGATTCCAGTTTTGAGTTCGTGTTTCCCAGCGCACTTCCTTGTGAGCAGCAGAAATCAAGCAGATGGTTTCACTGTCTCCAGTCTTTGCTTTCTCTCTCTTCTATGGCAGCTAGCTACACTGTATTAGTTGGATGTACATTTTGTGTAGGTTTAAGAATGCAATGGCTGGCTTTATTTAGCTCTTCAAACCACAAAACCTCTGGGGGGTCTTGAAGTAAAATGGCTTAGAAAACCTGGAAAAACAGACTTGTTGATCCATCACCAAATGACCTCAGATCCGCGGGTTTAACCAAAGCCCTGCACAACGGACATGTTCGTTCCCGCTCGAACCTGCACAGAGCACCATCCAATCCGATATTCATACCGAAGTGAACAATAAGTTAGAACACTAAAGTTGATATGAGCCCCCATCTTCTCTACTTAGATGTACAGGTTGACAAAAGAGGGACATAATGCTAGTTTTGTTTTGTTTGAGATTTCCTTAGGAACTAGATAATAAGACTCGAATTTTATATGAAAGGATAAAACAATATTAGATAATAATTCGAGGTACTTGAACCTTCACCAAGTTCACTCAAGACCAAAATTGCTTCTTTCTCCTATGCCAATCCCTCTACTTAGAACAATTATGCCCAAACAAACCACCTTGCTAACCACCATATTACCCCTCATTATCAAGTCCTAACAAGATCTTCCATTATTAAGTAAAAACCCGTTGTCAGGTGCAGGCTCTTGCTCGTAAGATCAGACTTTGTGCACACCATATAGTGGAGACATATAGCCCTTGAGCCACAACAAGAAAAGAGCAGAAAATAAAAGGCACCCTACCACCTAACCTTGGCCTCATTCTCTAAATTATCAGAAAACTGAACACAGACTCTATAGCGGGTTGGAGTGTTACATGTATATCATGTGACTATTAAATATGGTCAAACTAATTCTAGGGTGTTCAGTAACAAATAAAAATCACTTTTAAAACCATCAAATTGGTTTTAAATCATTTTTTGAAAAAAAAAAAACACTTTAAAATTGATTCTCCAAAAAGTTATTAACCGAGAACTACTTTAAAATCACTTTCAGGTAATTTGACCTTTGTAGTATCATTTTTAGATGCGGTGTATCGAAACAAACTTTGTGAATCAAATAATTTTTCAGAAAATGAAATCAAACACCCAAAGTATTTTAATTTAGACCCTACTGTAATGAAAAAGAAGTGTTTTCAGAAAAAAAAATACTTTTGAAAAGTGTTTAAATTAGAAGATATGTCAACCTCGCCCTAAATGTTCAGAAGTTTATCATTATGCAGAACACAAAATGCGATACCATGAAGGTATTAAGCGTAGCGGATTTTATGCGATGAACTTACCACTCTGATACACAATCTTCACAAAATATGTGTTTACATCGGAGTAGGATAGGAGCATGCATCTTTTCTTGGCAAATAGCACACAAATCACCAGCGGCACTGACCTGCATTAGGCAAATAACCTGTAAGATCTCAAGGACATTTTGCTCTCTCCTTCGTTGAAAGTTTACAAATAAAGAGTCAGAAATTACAAACTCCCTTTAGGAAAAGTTCAAAGAAAGCCCCCTACAGATTACAGATTTAAACAAAAAAAAGCCCAAAATATTACAGAAAGAGCTTGAGATTGCGTACTCCACAAATGAATGACTTTCACCAAGACCCACTCCTCTTTTATTCCATTCCCAAGGAATTTTCTCAAATATTATTTGTTAATTTTCCCCACTAAATACCCCACAAAACAGCTTTTATGGCATTAAAAAGCCAATCGCCTATTCCTTTATCAGAACTCTCAATTGAATTCTATTTTTTTCTCTCGTTAATAATAAGTAAATAAACCTACAACTGATCTCTCGACCTCAAAAGAATAAAGTTCGAAAAGTAGAACCCTCAAAACTTATGCAATCCACAAAAACTCTCATGGATCCACAAATTGGAGAAGTTTTAAACTTTCAACTGCCTATTTTTCATGAAAACCTCATAGGATAGGCAAGTATAGTTTCTTTTGCCTAGCACAGATAAGCCAAGAATTGTACAAGAGTAATATGCATGATTCTGTTGAAATAAATATTCTCACCCTCGAGTATGATCATAGTTCATAGATCAAGAGCTTTTAGCATATTGCTAGAAGTATACAGCACTTGAAAAACTTAGTGGCACATGAAATGGAAAATAGGGTACAATGTGTAGACTATGTCAATTAATTGTTTCAAAGTTTGTGCAATCTAAATGGGCACTATTGAAAGTTATTTTGACAAAAGTGTCATCCATCATCTATAGAAAAAGAAACTAAAGTAAATTCTTGAAAGAACGATACTAATGTCGATTCTTGAAAGAAAGATACGGAAATGACATTCAAATAATCAACAAAAGAACTATGGTTCTGTTATTTAATTTAGATGTAATATTTTACAGAAGTAACATGACCTGTGAGACTAGTCAAAGTACAGCCAGGACAGGAAACTCAAAGATACCAAAAAAGATAAAATACAATATAATGAAAACATAAACAGCATCGAATGCTAAGAAAGTTTGGTTAATTGGAGAAGGCATATGCATAAATGGGATCAAACATACCTGCTCTGACGTTGCATATGCCCCATAATGCACCTCTTTACGTGACAATGCTCTCAAAGCAGCAAAGAAGGATTGCACCTGAAATTCACATCAGAATGAAATATGAAACTGGAAAGGGAGATAACAGACATGAGAGACCATCTAGCAACAGAATGATCGTTATAATAGTAAAAATCAGTCAAAAAATCAAAATTATAGGAAATATACCTTTTCAACAACAGATGTGAGTTTGAAAGTCAAATACAGTCCTGTCAACAGTGATGAAAATAGACTCCCGTACTCTTTGTTCAAAAAGAAACGATACCAGACCGGAGTAGGCAACAAGGCACGGTACAGTAGTAGCAGATATTCAACTAAAGTTAGCATTTGACCCTGGAGATAATTTGAACGTTAATAGTGAGTTCTCGAAGACAAACGTCTACATATATAAGTTCTATTAAGTTACCACTTTGTTCTCTAGAGAGGAGAAAAATTGTCAAAAAAAATCAATAAAGAGCTCAGTATTACAGCAAAGCTCCACATTCTGAATCAACATGATTCAAAAGGGAGTTTACTGAATAAACAAAAGTCAACTTCTATATTACCTCACCTGTTTACGATAATTTCGGCCCCTGCTGTTCTTGTAATACATCAATAGAACACACTTGACCACCATCACGGCCTGACGGACCAAAGTGTCTGACAAACCAAAAGCATACAATTCACCAAACCAGTTACGTGGCAATGCAATTTTCTTGTGATATTGAGAGTATCAAGCATTATGCATGCATATAAGATTCACTTTTTTTTTAAATTATAATGCAAATTTTCAGAAAAGGTCTTCCTAACTTTTGCAATTCTGCTTTACTTTAATAAAATGGGGTTTTTATCCAACAAATGTGCAAAAAATAAATCATAAAACGTCTTGAAAATAAAAAAAAAACGGCCCTCTAACTTGAATTGGTGGGGGAGAATGCACGTTGAAAAGCTTATAATTAAAGGCAATTTAACAACTTATAAGATACTGGCATAAAATCAATGTTTATTCTTTTTGGTAAGTAGATCCAAAAGGGCAAGGAAAAATATTTTCCACACAAACAAAATACTACACGTTAAGAGAAGGAATATAAAGAATAGTGGCATCAAGGTTTACGAACAGAGGATGAAATAATTGTGATGGTGCTTGCCCAAAACCATAACTTCTATGGATATAATAGTGTCCACAGAAGTTAAGAATTTAACAATCACTCAAGGAGAAATCTGAGAAGATAAATGAATGGCAGGGAACTACGTGACAAGGCAGCCTACTGCCTGTCATATTAAACACTTCTTCGTTATAATACAGCATATACAGTATAATCAGTGAGATACAGTAATAACTCAAACAGAAGATTACCATTCACCATGATGATGAAAATAGCATGCCAGAAAGGAGGTATCGCTCTGGGAGGAAGCATGATCAGTGGATATAAAAGATCATCATTCTGATACCACCAATACACACCAATAACATGAATAGTGAATGCAAGAGAAATTCCAACCAAAACAGAGATTTTTCTCTCTCCCTGCAGGCACCAATAAGGCTTACAATTAATTTATATAAAAATTTGTAACAAAAAAAACAGAAACAATACAGCAAGATTGATGCCAATCCACAGAAGGATTTTCATCGAATGAGTTTGGTAACTACCACATACAACTGAGGTGTTTGAAAACATAATAATGAGGGGGGAGGAGGGGAGGGGGCACTGTTTCACTTTCTTAAAACTTAATTCCTGTTTGATTTCAATTTTAAGAGAAAAGGAAAATTTTATGGTTGCATGCGTGCTATACTTTCTTATGGTGTTTGTGGTAAGAGAAAAATCCACAAAAGTTGATTATGGCTTTAGGGGTTTGGATTATTATAAAAGAAGAAGAAGAAGAAAAGGTATTCTTTGCCCCGTACCCGTAAGGGGCAGCAGACCTTGCTTGGGGCTTTGGGTGAGAGTTTAGCTTGAGATACTCAGTTCTTAAGACTTCATGTGGTATGCTATGCTTAATAGGAGAAACTATTTGTAGCCTCTATAATATGCAAACCTTCTTCTTGTGATCACCTTTGGTGAGAAGACAAGACTTCTAACCTTCTTTACTTCTACTATTCTTAATTTTTAGTAAAAAGGTCTGTTATAACCCCCCACCCCAAAGAAAGACAAAAACAACATTATTACATGTCATAACACACCTTCAAAGCTGTTTGTTTTCGCAAAATATCATTTGACTTGTACATGAAAGCAGCTATCCAAATTGTCACAAAGAAGCCTGCAAGTAATTTTAGGAGGCAATATCAACACCAGAACGAGACAAAAAAATTGCAGAGGTACATGTGAAAACACATATAACAAACACACTTAAAAACAGATTTGAGCTGCTCCATTGTCGTTTTCTAAATGTCATAACAAAATAATAAGAGTGTTCTTAAATTTTCTCATATCTATAATCTATAATCAATTATATATCTTAAATAAGGGTAAAAGATGACAAACTTATGATTCCACTTCTTTCCCTTCCTTTCTATATAAATTCAAAATTAAACTTACAATTTAATACCTTTCACATATTTATTGTTCTTCATCTAAACTACCTTTACACAAGAAACCTTCATCTAAGATTTTACAAGTTGAGGTATCTTATCAAAAGAAAAATTTTTGCATGTTGTGATCACTGTGAATATAAATTTGATGTGTTTGATATAAGTGATGTTAAGTTCATCTGAGTTACCATATATATATACACAGACACACATAATGACATAAATATGCATGAACCAAGCAAACGTTAAGCTATAAGCAGCATCAAGACTATGACACGAGCTTGACATTTAAAAAAAATCAATTATAATTATTAATTGATTTGTCCATTTGGTATTTCTAACTTCCTGTACTACAAAAGTTCAAAGAGTTCAATTAAAATTCAAGGTTAATTGTTGATTGACTGTGGCAAGTTGAACTATTGCTTATGTTAATACAGCATTGATTATATATTGGATAAGTATTTTACCAAGTTGACCCTTTTCTTTTCTTATTTAGATGCATTAAGGAAATCTTAAATTAACTAATTTCACGTCTTCTTTAACAATATTAATATAAAGAATTCAAATTTTGTAAGAAAAGAAAATAAGATTCACTTTACTTCCGTGTAACTTGAGAATTTCAATCAGCCATCAAGGATGGAGAAGAAGAACAAGAACAATAACGAAGATAAAATAGTGTGTTTGCTTGCTCCAGAAAGAAGATGCAGCAGTTCATGATTATCTAAATCTTTCTGGCTAGTGTCCATAATCCAGCCACATCATCAATGACAATTTTAAAATACGAAGTTCATAAAAATTCTGTAACACACAGTGAGTTAAAATCTTGATAAAATTCAAGGAAGGTACCTTGCAAATGCTGTCGAATGAAGACCACCAGTAGAAGAAAACTAAATGGGAGAATCTGCTCAATCCCCCGAGCAGCCTGCTGAATATCATATCTTTGGTAAGAAGAATCCCTGCCATTTCCCCCAGCCGCCTCCAAGGCATCTCCATCAGCACCTCCGTTTATTGGTTGAGGAATGCCTTCTCTTGCCCCACGTTCAGGAGCAGGATCTCCCTGGCTAAGCTCTGATGCCAACCCCGAAACAGATTGTGACGATACAGCATTCTGACCGCCTACTTCCCTCGCCTGCCCCACAACTAATCCAGCACCATCCCTACCATGTTCTTGTTCCCCCGCCCCAATGATCCTAATTGAAACCTCTCCGTCGTTGGTGGAACCAGAAGATTCTTCAATCTGGCTGCGAATATGGTCACGAAACCCCGAAGGCAACCGTGCACTTATCAATGCCTCGGATTCTTGATGACTTGGGCGGCCACGAAGAAGACCCGAATACTCCAACAACGCAGAAAGAGGAGCCTGAATTATGTTCGAGGCAGCCAACATTCCAAACCTTCTTGAACTACCACTGGTGGAAGCAGCTCTATGAGCGTCGGGGTCGCTACCAGACGCTTCCATTCCGATGAATGGCCTAACCCTAATCGCGAAAAATCCACACAATAACAATCAACCCAATAATTGACCATGACAAACATGAAATAAACTAAGGATAACGAAGTGGAAACGTACAGGAAGGACAGAAAAAGCAACCCAGTAAAAGGAACAGCACTAAATTACCTTCTCCGCAAACGAGACTCCGTGGAGGACGAAAAAAACAATAATACAACAAAAATCAAGGCATGGCGGCAAACCCTGATGAGAAATCTACAGTAGCTTCAATCTTCAAGAACCCAAAAGAAGAGTGAATCAGAAATCGAGGAGCTGGGACGCCATGATCGGAGCAGGGCCGGAGAAGAGAATCGCGGAATTGCAAGGTCAAAAAGACCGGCGGGCGGAATCAGCAAAAGGGGGAAGGGGTTTGATCGGGCAGAAGGATGAATGAATGGTGAGAGTAAACGAAAGGGTAAAGAGGAAGAAGATTGAAGATTGAAGATTGAAGATATGTAAAAATGGCAGAAATTTCTCACCCTTTTGAAGAACAGAGCGAACCAGAGAGAGAGAGGGGAAGGGGAAACTCCAATAATCCTGATCGCATTCGCAACTTCACAAAGGTTTCATTTTGATACCTTTATTAATTATTATTACTTCTATTTCCATTTCTATTACAATTTTATTTATGTAGATGCCAATCATACCTCTTTAACTTGGCGAAAAAAAAACTTAGATTACGCGGGACATTTATTTTCGATTAAAATATTGTGATTTGAATTCGTGCCTCTAGCATATTGTACTAAAAAAAATTTATCTAAAAATAATTTTGAGTTACCTACTAATGAGTATATCGATCAAGTCACCATTTAAAAATTGACCACTAAGAGAGATTAATGCATAAAAGAATAATATTATTCATTATCTAATTGAGTTGATTTGGTTAGTACGAGAAATAAAGGATAGTTGGTTCGATTTTATGAAATTTATTAAGAAAAAATCTATTTTTACTTGTGAGGTTTGGTACAATGTATCTATTTTTATATAAACGTTCAATGTCATCATCTTAGATGTTAGATTTGGACGAGTGTCGTGATTTTTATCTTTATATATTGTGTGCCTTTAGGCTTTAGTGAATTACCAAAACTCAGACATGATAAGAAATTGATGAGACTTCAAATCTAGAAAAAAAAAAGGGAACACATAAGGTTGGATTTTTGTTGAAATTTTTGTGAGTTCAGAAGGTCTATTCAACCGTCTATTTGTCTATTCATCGAGCTTAATTTTATACCAAGTTTAATCTTAGGTTGAAAATGGTGAGTTTTTATATATTTTTACCTTATTTTTTTGGCTAAAAATTATGGATGAATGTGGTAGAAAGTGAATCAAAGTTGAAAAACAAAATACACTATTTATCTAAATTTTATGGTTCAATCGATGAAATTAAAGGTTTATAATGGAAATTGATACATCCTTTCAACTTCAAAGGTACAATTTTTTTATTTTGTCACTTTATTAATGAAAGTTTGGTATGCTTACTTCGTTTTAATGGTCTCTTATATTGTTCTTTAAATATTGCTTTAAAATGTAGACATTGACTTTGTAGTGTATATGAGTGACTCTTTTATACTCCTCATGATATTTCTCCGTCTTACGGTCACTACTTATATTCAATAATATCAAACATGCTTCTGATTTTTTCGTCCACTCTAAATCTAGTCAATAACTGTGTTGATTCATGATTAAATCACAAAAAAAAAAGTAATGAACAACTCAATGTAGTTAGTAAGAGAGGTTTAACAAATGCTCTCATAATCATCTCGAGTATCGAATCATTTGATTCCCTACTTGTCGTCGAACTAAAAATTCTTAAAGAATTTTTTCGAAGGAACAATCTCTTGTAATAAAAAAAAAGTAGTTAAAAGAATAATAATAGATACTAAGTAAAAGTGAAAAAATTACAAAATCAAGTGTAGTTTTCAATCGTGATAGCGAGGGAACCAATTAAACCTCGCATAGAGATGCAATTATTTACCCAACTATTTCATGACTTTTTGACTGCCCTAAAACTCATAGAAATGGAGATTTATCACCATCTTCATTCAAATTATCACCAAATTCAATAGGTCATTAATGAGGGGCTAAGCATCCTAAAATATAGGTCTAAGAATAAATTCAATAGGTCATTAATGAGGGACTAAGCATCCTAAAATATAGGTTTTTATTCTTAGATCGGGGTGGAGGCTCGAACCTCTAATCTTGCAAACTGTTACTTTATACCTTAACTAGCTGAGTTATGTTCGATTGGTTCCTAAAAAATAAGTTACGCGATGCTTTAATGTTTGCATTGGATAAAAGGTCAACTAAGAATAAAGCATTATAAGAGTACTGATAGATATAATCTCGGGACTATAGAAAGTGGGACGCATATTAACTCGGTAATTATTTACTTCAAATCAACCAAAACCTAGACTAATCATCAATACATGTCAATAAACCTAGAAATGACCGAACCAACTTGGTTTTGTAGATTTTTTTTCAAATTTGGCTTACACTTATACATGWCAATTAATTCCATAATTTACCTAAATTAAAAGTCAAATAACAATTATGTAAATCAATGGCAAATGGATAAAAATAATTGAATACTAACTCAAAAGTCACAAAAAAAATCTACGAGTTTTTATTTTAAATAATTGTTGTATCTTTATATATATATATATTTTTTTTGTTCTTTTAAATTTTATGTTTTAAATATATTTATAAAATACTTATGAAAAAAATAAAGCTACTCATTAAAATTATTCATATGTAAATGCCAAATTGGGCCTTAAAAACACGAGCCCACTTCTCGATTCATGAACTTTAATCGGGCCCATCAAGCTTGGGTCTCGTCTAAAAGCCACCAATTTAGATGGGCTGAATTTGTAGCCCATTAAGTAAAAAGTTCTCATGAGCCTCACCATTTCAGTTCTTGTCGATCCGAATAGGTCGATATCTATTACTATCTCACAAATCAATAGTTTGATCTTTCACCCTCATAATTGTTAGACTAAAAAAATAAAAATTAAAGTTAGCACGGTTATGCTGTTTGAATATAAGTTTAGAAAAACGGTTCAATACATTGTCATGAAAGAACTAAAAATATGTCAGAATATGATTGACCAGAATACCTTTAAATTTGAATGTTCAATTAAAAAAAAATGATGTTGAAAATACCAAACAAAAAATATATAGTTGGATAAGTCCTCCGCATTTCTAAAAAACAATATTCAATAAATCCTTAAAATGGTGAATCCGAACCTAACTCGACTAGTAAAGACATCCTAACGTCTTCCAGAGGTTCTAGAGATTAGAATCTCAACTAAGAACGAGAATAACAACGACACTTCTCAAATAGATCCAACACGACTCAAGGGAGGCGGGAAATTGCTAATTTGATAAATTTTAAGTATATATAATAAACCCGACATAGATCATTGATTTGATCTAACCAAACCCGACACATGGAAAAAGGGGATTGGGGGATCACCAGGGTGACAGAAGGAGAAATGTGAATAGAGGGAAAGTTGCAGAGTTGGAAATTTGTGATTATTTGAGCATTTTTTGTGAGCAAAACGACGGCGCAGTGTCACGAGACTCCATTTTCACATGTACCGTCCCCAACGCCAAATCTTCCTTCCCCTTTACAATCCCCACTGCCCCCACTACCCTGGTCCGCCCCGAACAAGCAATCGTCCTAGTGCTATGTAAACAGATCGGTTCGGTTTGGCTCGATTTGTTTTTCATCCAATTTAACGTTAAATATATGTATTATTTAAGAGAATTGGCAAATCAAAACATGTCATTATCATTAATAAAAAATATCAGAAGTTCGAAGGATCGTTATTGAAGATTTAAAAGTAAATAAATAAATTATGTTGATACCATGAAAATGGTTTGTTTAATAATAATAATAATAATAATAATAATGAATATATCAAATAGTTCCTATGTTTTGAATTTTTTATTAATTTGGTCATTGGTGTTTTAAAATTTTGAAATTTACCCTTAATGTATTAGAAGTAATTATATGATCAAGTTATCGTGGGGATTGATATGTGAAATTTTGTTAATAGAAAATTGATGTATCATCAAACTTATTATTTTATTGTCAGATAGATTTTATTGATGGACAATAAATCAAATTTATTTAAAAATATATATATAAATTTTATGTGTCACTTACGATTTAAGTGGCATATCATTGTCAAAATATATTTAAAATAAATAAATCAATCAAATCTATCACAATTGTACCAAAAAAGTTTCGATTTTAGAAATTGTCTTTAATTTATGAAATTGTAATTAAATTTCATCATTAGTGATAATTCGCTTTTAAGTGGCATACTAATTATTCAATTAATTGAGTTGTTCAGGTTTGATTTTTTGTTGAGGTAAATGTCCGGGTTCATTTATAACTCTATTAGTTGCAACTTGAACGATTTGTACTCGCAAAATGGTGAAATGACTACAATTAAACCAGTTACTAACAAAGTTTTTTCTTTTTAAATAGTTATTGGAGCGAAGTTTTTTTTAGTATGTGATGGTAATCGAACTCACAACCTCTTAGTTGAAGATATATGTCAATTATTGTTGAGCTAGGTTGGATTTGGCAGTTATAACAAAATTACTACAATTGCATCTATTTCCTAACTTTAGAGAGATATTACTCAAATTAAAATTTCAAATATACCATTCTAATAACCACTCTATTTTTTTTTCCTTTCCTTCTTGAAATTGAAAACAACACTACAGTTGATTGGTGATTTTTTTGGAACTTTTAATTTTCTATTTGAAATACATTAAAAAATGATTAAATTAAAAATTAGTCTCAACTTTCAAAATAATGTTTATTTAATTCGGTCGTTATTAGATCTTATGCTTTAGGAAAATCTCTCAAAAATTATGAATCTTTAATTTAATTTTGTGTTTAATAAGTTAATGGATTGAATCTGTTAATTTAATTAGTATTCCACCAAAAGGCCTAAGTCTACCTAGAATCAATCTACCATGTACTGATTGGGACTTATAGAAAACATTTTTAAATATGGAGAATTTTTTTTTTAAGTACAACTTAAATAGAGAGAGACTATATATATACTGTCTTGCAGGTTTAAGGATTAGCTTTTTAGAATATGTACCATAAAATCTAAGAAGTTTAGGGCTCGTTTGGTAACATTCCCGTTTTTTGTTTCTCGTTTCCAATTTTCTTAAGAAATCTAAGTATTTTTCAACTAACTTTGTTTCTCGTTTCTTCCTTTTGGGAACATCCTCACAATTGTATAGAAATTTTGGAAACAACTAAAACTAGTTTCTCCTTACTTGTTCCCACTCCCAATTTGTTCCAAAACATAAATAAAAAGATTGTTTTATCGTACTTGAATTCTTATAAATGTTACCAAACGAGGATCTGTTTAGTAACGTTTCTACTTCTTTTTTCACATTTATACATTTGAAAAACATAAGTATTTGGTAATAATTTTTTTTACTATGTTTAAGGGATACTTTTAGCTCATGATTCTATTTAGTTTTTTAAACTATGATTCTATTTTTTATAAAAATTCAACTTTTACTATTTCCAACAACTCCCCGAATACTCGGTTTGATAACCTATTGTTGATGCAGAAATTTGACATCTTGTGATATGGTCATATTCGTACCAATCTTCTAGAATAAAAGGATTGATAAGACCTGCAAATAGAAGGGCACTAAAGACTGGTGTGTCTTTTGCCACACAAGGTCCGATGCTTCATCGAGTGTAGGAAGTAGAGTATTTTGGCATAGCAAAGAGTAGAGATTTGTAGCGTACCATTTACCTTTGATTACTAGGGGAAATTCTAAGACATATGTTCTCCTTTTGAATTCCTTAAATAAGAGAATTCGAATGGTAGAAAATAGGGATTTTCTCACCCATAACACCCACTACTTATTATTCTTCTACTGCTGGTACATCTTTTCACTTTATTTGATGGAAAGATTATTGAGTCTCTTAAGTTAAATAAACTAGGCAGAAAATGCTTTTGTATTTTTATAATTATGTGTTTTTATTGTTTTATCATCAGGAGTAGCGTATCTTTTGAAACTATAATAGATTTTCCTTTATATCTAACATAATGCATGAAAGGAGATCCACTTTATCGAATAGTTAACATGTTCGTTACCCGTGAAACAGGAAAAAAATCATTGGCTTATCAAATTATCTATTGAGCCATGATTAGATTGATGATAAAATAGAATCATGGGTCTCGAACAATGGTTCGATTGATGATGTGTTTTTGTTATGCCTTCCTTACTGGAATTACGTAGAAATTTTGGAAAAAAAAAACAAAATTGAGCTTATTGTGTCTTGTTGTCGTTTTTTACTTTCCCAAAATATTAAAAAAAATATTTTATCATTCTTAACTTATAAAATGCATAATAACATACCATTTTTGTAAAAAAAATATATGAATTTTCATATACAAATCTTACTATTTAAAAAAAAAATTGTATAGAATGAGAAACAATAAATGATTGTAAGACATTTTTTTATTTTATTTTCAATAGAGAAAGAAAAGAAACCTCATACATGTACCAAGCCTAATTCTATTTTAATTTATTAGAAAAAAGAAAACCGAAAACAATAAATGATAAATAGAAATATTACCAAACAAAGATTTAGGGTCCGTTGGATAACGTTATCGTTTATTGTTTCCGTTTCTTCATTTTTAATAAAGTAAAATATAATTAAATGACCCAATATCCTGAATTCAATACGATGAATATTTATATTTTAAAATAAATTAAAAATAAAAAGAATAAATAAGAAATGTATTTTTGTTATTTTCGAAATTTCTATACACAAAATGTTTCTTTAATCGCGACCGGTTATCAAATACTTAGGTTCGGAATAAAATTGAAAACAAAAATAAAAACGCATTAATTATTAAAAAAAAAATCCTTAAGCAAATGGAGAAGCCATGATTTTTCGTGCTAACCACCAACTTCAATTTATATGATAATGTTTATTAATTTTCTTTATAGAAAAATATAATTATTAATTCTCTCAAACATATGGGGGTAGAATGGTCATTTAGCGCAACGCCAACCTTCCATAATTTATCGTATTATTATTTTCCTTATTTAAATTCCGAATCAATTAATCAATAAGTATTATTTCCGCTGTTTTTGTACAGAAAATAATAACAGCAAAAAATAATATTTTTTTTTCTTTTTGACAAAATAATAATAGCAATAAGAATTATTATATATTTTATCAGAATAATGTATACCTACATGATTGTATTTAATTATTTCTTGAAGCCTTTTGTAGGAACAATATAAAGTTACCCAAGTAACCGTTCAAGGGCAGCCTCGTCACTTTTAACAACAGATGCATGTTAAAATCCCGACACATGTCAATCGACTCGGTTCTAATGGAATTTAATCATGTATTTTAGACCTCGTTTGATAACATTTTGATTTTAATATTATGTTTCTTAAAATGTATATGTTCCTTCTTATTCATTTATTTAGCGATGGATACTTTTAAGAGTGGTCATTTTGATCCATATATTTTTGGTTGTCTCATTTTTCAATCACAAATTCAATATAACGCTACATTTAGTAAATTTATTGAAATATTGTATTGTCATACCTTTATATCAAAAGGATTTTTGTTCACTTGTAATATGATTTTACACAAACATGAACCAAGATGATCATTTTCTAAATTACATGGACCAACGTAGAGAAAAGTTAAAAGTATAAAGTCTGAAATAGAATTTTAATCTAAAATTGAAAATTGAAAATTAATTGATCAGTACTTCTTAGTTGATTAAGTTGTGTGATTGACTCGGTTTCATAGATGTCTAATTTTTAGTTTTTCATGACAACCTGGACATAACTCTAACTGGTTAAAGTACAAATATTCGATCAAAATGTTATAAGTTCAAATCATCACTTTATACGTTGTTGAATAAAAAAAAAGTTGATTTGACATTGATTTTAACTTAAACGTTGATCATACACCAATCAATCGTAATCTAAAATGTCGTAAGTTTGAATCTCCGACTTATAAAAAAAAGCTTCACACAAATTTCAATAACTATGATAAAACTTTTAAAACCCAGCCCCCAAGATAAAATAAACATAGAAAAATTCACTAATCAAACCAACAAAAATACCACTTTAAAATTCCATCCCAAGAGATAAGACTTCAAAAAAGACAAACCTTTCTTATTTTTAAGGAAAAAAAAAACCCACCAATATTACAAAATTAAAAAAATTATAACATGGGATCCATGAACCACAATAGTAATAAAAATAGCAACAAAATAAAAAGAAAAAGAAAAAGAAAAAGAAAAAGAATAAGAATATAAATATATAATATCCTATTCTCAAAAATAAAATTAAAAAAATCAGATACAATATTTTGCAAGAAATGGTTTGACAGCGTATTGCCACGTGGCAGCTGACAGCCAGTGAAGTGAGAAAGCGACGTCTTTTCCTTTCTTTTTTGCTTCCTTCCTTTTCGCCAGTGCGGATCTCATAATCGTAAATTGGAAACGCGATTTCGAGGCTAAAAAGGAGAAAATCTCTCGCCGTTTCCTTCATTTCTTCCTCCACTCGCCAGTCCCCAACTCAGCGAGTCGCTCAATCCGAGTTCACCCATCAATTTACTCCCCAAAATTTTCATCTCTCTCTCTCCCAAGCCCCATTCTCTTTCTTTCTCTCTGTCCTTTTGGCCAGTTCCTTTGTGGGTTCGCTGTCTTCAGCTCTTCCGTCTCCATTTTATGGCTTAACGCCGCCATTATTGGCCCCCTTCTTCTTCACTCTGTGTGCACATTTGCTTCGTCTGCTCTGTTTTTCTTGGAACTGTGGAGGGGAGAGGAGGAAACAGTGGTGGGGTTTCGTTTTTTTTTTGGTTCTTTTTTCGTTTTTTGTTGGAATCGGCTTGTTTACTCTTCTTCAGTCGTCTCTATTTCACCGGGATTTTCGCTGATTTTCGCTGCAATTTCGAGAAACGAATCTGTTCTCTCTACCATGGCGCCGGTTTGTTTGATTTTGATGCTCTGACTGATTCCTAGCTCGTTCTCTTTCTTACCCACATCTTGATTCTTCACTGGGTTTCGTTCTTTCTCCGTCTGCGATTCTCTTTTTCGATTTCGGTACCTGGGTTTGAGATTTGGCTGGGAAATGCAGGATAGATTCTGGGGCTTTTGTGGAGTGTTTGGTTGAGATTCTCCGTCGCCTTCATGTGGGGTGCGGTTCATGCGCGGCGTCTGCTGTGAAGAGTTTGAAGGATGATTTTCCTCAAGATTCTAGGGTTTATGCGTTCGTTTGCGGCTGATTTCTACTGGGTTCGGTCCAATGCCTCTTGGGATTTTCAAGAATTTGGTTTATGACATGGTTTCTTTCCTCCTCTAGCTCTGCAATTACCGCACATTATCGCCATTTCAAGCCAATCTGATTCAGGTACCCGGGTTGCCTGTTTAATAAAATTATTCTCGTTGCAGAAACATTCCAGTAGAATTTCATTCTGGGTCAGATTTAGAATCCGCCATTGTTGTTGGCTTGCATAAGCTCTAGGGTTGGTGAAGAATCTGAATTTTCTGTTTCTGTGAGAAACAAACCCTATTTATAGATTCTTCTTCCAAGTGTTCTTTTACCAGTCTTCGAGAGCTTCTTCTTTTTCAAGGATTCCAAAAGGGGAAAAGCAAAATCTCTGGGAGAGAATATTAGGATTTCCAACGGTTTAAAAATTTATCCCCTTCTTTCAAAGTTGCTTTTGAATTTGGCATTTCCGTTTGCAAGAGATTAATTTCTCATATGATTTATTGCCCATTTGAAGATCTTTATTGCGTATCGGTTCTCTCTTCCGTTATCATTCTGTGGTATTTAACTCTCATTTGGGTGTTACTCTCTTCTCTGGTTGAGCTCAAATCTGCGTCCATTGTAGTGAGTTGTGAGATTCCAGAGCATCCATGGGGCTTCCTAGAAGTCTCGTGATGCTGGTTGTTCAAATGTGCTTCTTGTTTTCAGCTGATCCAGTTATGGTTCGATCAGCCGTGGCCACCGGTTCCTCGGGTCGTTCTCTGGATGCCCTTCTCCAAGAGTATGCTTATAAGGCCTTGGATCGCCCGAAAACCGGTGTTTATTATGGTGCAGTCGTTCCCTCAAACTTGACTGGGATTAGTATTGGAGCTATGAGGCTGAGGAGTGGCAGTTTTCGACGGTATGGGGTTGATGCGTTCAAGGAGTTTGAGATTCCGAAGGGTGTTATCGTGCAGCCATACGTCGAGAGGCTTGTTTTGGTGTATCAGAACTTGGGCAGTTGGTCTGAGGAGTATTATGCATTGCCTGGTTATACCTACTTAGCACCAGTGTTGGGTCTTCTTGCTTACAATGCCTCCGATCTCTCCGCGACGAATCTGCCCGAACTCGAAATGAGAGCTTTCGGTGACCCGATACATGTCAAGTTCAACAATGTCAAGTCACTCCCGGACGGGACAGTTGCCAAGTGTGTGAGGTTTAATCTTGAGGGTAGTCCCAATTTCAGCAGTGTGGAGTCTGGAAACACATGTTCAACCATCCAACACGGGCATTTCTCTATCGTCGTCGAGTCTGTCCCTCCTTCTCCATCGCCCCCGGGAACCCCAACCCCACCTCCGCCTTCAAGCAAGAAAAACACCTCAAGAGTGTGGATCATTGTAGGATCAGTGGTGGGCGGAGCATTGCTGTTGGTATTGCTCGCACTCCTCATTCTGTGGGTTCATAAGTTAAAGAAAAGAAGAAAAATGGAGCAGATGGAGAGGGCAGCAGAATTGGGAGAACCTCTACAAATGGCAATGGTCGGCGACACGAAAGCTCCGACAGCAACGGTGACACGGACGCAGCCGACTCTAGAGACCGAATACGTGCCTTGATCACTCGTCCGGTAGTAAGATTTCTCATTTTAGACCTCTTCCTTTTTTTCTGATCCATTCCCTTCTGGTTTTGATGTGTTAATTGGTATTCATGTGAGTAGTAGAAGTGTATGATGATTTTTGTGTAAATCCGTTTATTCCTGATACCTGTATGATTTGATGATCATTCATTGTTTCGCACAAAAATGTACTCAGAAGAGATTTCTTCTTCTTCTTCTTCTTCTTGTTCTAATCTCTCTGATGAATTTGGTTTATGCAAAATTTCAAGCTAATAAAGAGATTCTCATGAAATGTTGTTTGTTTGGTGGTTGGTTTTTGAGCAATCTCTCTCTCTGTGTGAGATGTGAACTGTGAAGTTAAGGCTTCGTCGGTGGCCTCTGAGTTTGACTTAGCTGACTTTTAGAGTGGAAAACACATGTGAAGCAAGGTTTAGGTGTCGATGTCGTCGATGATGTCTCAATTTTATGTCGATGTCGAGGGTAACGTCGAGGTTACAGATTTATGGAAATAGATACCGTTAGAAAGGTTATGAAAGTAAAAGAAATTTACAACAAATATTTAAATTAAATAAGCATTTCAATATCTCCAAACGAGTTAAAAATTATTAATATTAATATTACGTCCATATCAGTAATGTTGCAAATGTTGCAAATACTATGGAAATGTTGATTTATCTCTCGTGTTAATGTTGAATTGATGTGAAAACAATATATTTCTTTTATTAGACCGTAAATTTAGTGAATGGATTATAGGAATCAAATTGAAATTAAACTTAAACAGGGGAATATCTATTGAATTGAATATTAGTGTATTGATTCAATGTGATTGAAATTTTTTAAAATGGAAGGACCAAATGGAAAATATTCAAAATTTATGTACTAAATTTACCATTTTAAACAATATTTTTTTCCTAGTGCTTATTAATGATTCATTCAATCTATTCTAAACTTCTCAAAGCTTTAGGCTTTATATTTCTTTCCTTTCTCCTTTTATGTTGACATTGACATGTTGGATTTTTGTCTTTCCTTTCCACTAGTATATAAAATCAAGATTTCATCATCATTATTATTATTATTTATTTTTCACATTCTTTTTTTTCAATTAAATATTAAAAAAAAACCCCAAAGGATTTGATTGAGGGAGGTGGGCCATGGAGGGGAGAAAAATGGAATTTAGGCAATGCAAAAATAGAGAGCATTTATTAAATTGTCCATCCTCAATTAAAACGCTGCGTTTTGGGTGACTTTGGAGAATGGGAAAATTTGGTAAAACAGAGTAAGGAGAGAGATGGTGTGGTGAGCATTCAATTTTGTTAGAGGACAAACAAATCCAACTGACCACAAAGCTATTAGAGAGTAGAAATAACAATTTAACCCTTAGAATTTTTGTATATGAAGAATTAGTCCTTATAGGTTAAGATTTGTAACGATTTAATATCTGAACTTGTAGAAATTTTAAATTACATAGAATAAATAACATATGAAAGTTTAAGGAATAAATTGTTACTTTGAAAGTACGGAGATTAAATGTAATTTATTTAATCTAAACTTTAACATTTGATATTTTTTTCCACAATAATAGTCTGAGTCTATATAGTCTAAATGGTAACATTGCCACTTAAGTGTTTAAAGCATAATCCCATTAGTCTTCATTGTTAATTTTATTTTCGGTAAATTATTTAACAAAAACCTAATATAAGCATGTGTTTCATTCAATTAATAAATGATTAGAAATAGGGCAAAAACATGAAGTAAATCAAGATAGACTGAAACAAAACATTTGAAATATGAATAACTAAAACAACACAGGTAAAAGTACAGAGATCGTGATAAAGTAGGCACAAAAGTTTATAAACTAAAATAGGTTTAAATTATAAGGCATGTGAAAAAACTAAATGAATTTCGGAAGAATGAGTTCAACTTCAGGATGACAATCAAATATTATGGAGTTAGACCATTGTTTGAGATTCATCAAGGTGCATGTTCAAATGTTTTGAGGGGCCCTCGATTAGTACTAATTTTTTTGGGCGAAATGTTTATACCACCCTTGGCCGATCCCTAATCTTTATCGAAATAATATTAAGTAATCGAACCCTTTTAACAAATATGTGTTAGAGGGCCCCATATTATGCTCAAAAATAGGGATACAATTTCAATATCATTAGACATTGCACATGCACCCCTCCCCAAAGCCACATCCATTCCATAAAAAAAATGCAATAAGAAAAATCAAATTCTCCTACAATGATTAGAAAGCAAATGCATTAAGATGCCAGCAATTAATAAAGAGCATCCTAGAGAATATATTTAAGAAAAATATGAATGCTACAACCCATTAGTCGCCCATTCGAACATAAGTAAAGTGGATAAGACATCTATTGTGATCTATAAGTTCGATGGTTCAAGTGGATAAGACATTTATGGTGATCTATGAATTCAATGGTTCGATCTCGACCAGTAAAAAGAAAAACAGACCATTAGTCAAAGCAAAGCAACATTAGGAATTTAGGATAACATCCATGTCAGTGTTATGGGCATAATACAGGCTGTATAAGAGGTTGAAATGGGAAAAACAAAGAGAGTCCAATTCTGCTTTTTTGTAATTAAGTTTTTGTCTCTACTATTGTCTTGAGTTCTAAACACTTGTATTTTTCTTTACTTTTCTTAAATTAAAATGACCAAAATAGTCTCCACCTTCTAGAAAGTGCCCTACATTAAAAGCTGCATTGGAAATTTGGAGAGAAGAGAGAGAATAAAGGAGGTTAGGCTAGTTTACTTTAATGGTACATGTTGTGGGAACTCAGAGGCTAAAGGCAAAGGGTAGCTCAAGAAAAAGAGAGACCAATTCACAAAAGGGCTCTTACTATTTTCATGTAGTTTAGGATTTGTAAGACCTTAGTCCCTTGTAGTATGTAACAATGTGAAAATTATGTTGTGGTAAAATTTTTATCTTTAACCTATAACAATTTAGTCATTATCCTTGAGTGATTTTAAACAGTAGACCTAGTTGTTAGGTTTAAAGACTAGAATCGCATTTCAGTGAAAATATAGAGTCCAAAGGATAAGTACTTCAGAATATGCCGAGGGAGGAAGGGGTTCTCAAACAAACCCTTTTTGAGTGTACACTCCAGTTTTCTTGCATCTAATGGATCCATCATAGCAAACATCAATCTCGTTGGACTCTTGATTTTCTAGCTAGAAAGGCGGAAAGATAGGGCAGTTCTTGACTTTTTCCCTTTCCCATTAGTGTGGACAGGTTCCACGATTTCTTGGCCTTCTTAGTTGGTTTCCCTATGGATTTCAGCTTCAAAAGAGAAGAAAAGGGCCTAAATATTCAACTTTCAAGCAGATTTCCTAAGTTCACTGACAGCCGCAAGCAACTTCTCTCCTTTCTCCCATTTCCCATTGTGATTAGGAAATCCATCCTCTCCTAGCTGTACAAACTTTGTACAGTTCACACCATGTCCCACTCTTCGAGACCTTTATAGGGTAATTATCACAACACTTGATATTTTTTTTGGCTATAGAAAGTGGTCAGAAGCTGTTCCTAGGGAATAGTGGAGGTAATTATGGACCGGTCTAGTGGTCAATGAGCCAATATAAATAGTGCAAGCTTAGAAGAAATGGATTCAAACGGTGGTTACTATCTAGAATTTAATATCTTAGAGTTATCTTGACTAAATGTAGTAGGATAAAACAGTTGTCCACGGGGCAAGCGGGTCCAGAAAGAAAGGAAAAAAAAAAAGACCAGTGTCTCACCCACCTACCACCCACATGATCCAGAATAATTCCAAACTAAATCGGGTGGGTGCTGCCAAGTTTTCTAATGCCCTCTCACACCAACATTTCCACCACTATTTAATGCAAGGTCCACTTCTCAACAGAAACTCAAACTACACGAAGAAAATCATTATTTCAGTATCTATGTCTGTAAGCTTTTTGGTGGTCACTCTTATCTGTAAACAGCTACTGCCATTAGTTTGTGAAAACTGGAGAGTAGCAGTACATCAAACCATCTAGCTTCCTACCACTCTCATTCTTGGTCTATATCATGCATTCCATATAGGGACGGGTGAATGAAGACAAAAACTTACAAGAACTCCAGGCTGTTCATTCATCAATCATTTGAGTACGGGGTACCTTCTGCTCAAGAAGGCAAGAGCCAGTTCCAGAAAAACAAAAACTCAGAAGTCAACATTCAGGAGAACATCTACTTTGATATTTAAAGTAATTCTTGACGGTCGATTATGCATATGTTCAGGTTAAGATAGAAACAATGGAGTATGTGATTGAACGTCATCGCACAGACATCTGCATTCTGCAACAAACACTTTTATTCATTCCTTCATCAAGAGTGCATCCGCCACAACTCCTGCACCTAGGACTACATTAGCGTTAGTTCTGATTTCAATAGTCTCCTAAAGTATAGTGAAGAATTGAAAGGAAAATAAAAGGGGCCAAAACTCAAACTAGGAGTTCCCTTAACATGCCACATAAGCTCAACAGGAATATAAGACTGAAGTCTTGCACGAAACCAATATGTGAATGTGTGCATGTGAGCAAGGAGTTTAACAAATGTGCAAAAAAGTGTATTTTGAGTTTCAAGGCTTTAGATAGCGAGAAAAGGGTTCTGGCAAGGTTTAGATGAATTTCCATGTTCTACAAAAGACGTTACTTGAAGTGATATTTCAGCAAGAAACCACTCCAGTGCAGTAGCACCATAAAAGTCACTCCGATTAAAAGAGGAAACATGAGTCATTTCTATTCAATGCCAAGAACTGTTCAGATGGGATTAGAACGGCCTTTAGATATGAATGGACAAAGTCCCAAAACTTTAAGAACTTTATATCAAAATGGGCACTAAAGCTGCCACAAATCTAGATTTCTAGATACTCCGAGAGCTAAGCTGACACACAAATAGTTCTTCATAGGGGGTGAACAGTTGGATCCAGAAAACCGATCACAGGTGACACTCGTTGGTTGGTTTGAACCACATGTTAGTCGGAGTGGTTGGAAAGTGTCTTTCCGATTAAACAACCAACAGATTAAGAAAATAAATTTAAACCTTCCTATGCTCCTCAACATGATGTCATCTGGCTTCACTCTTGCCTTCTGTTATATATATATAATTTTATTATCACTTCAATTTTCTGGTTCACACACTGCACGTCCTCCCCCACACTACTCAAATATCAGCCAGTCCTAACTCACTAATACCACGCAGTAGCCTCCCCTAACTAT